CCCTGTACTTGAGGACAATCTGTCGTCCCTAGGCTCGGCCTCGACAAGATCCTCAAGACCACCCTACTAATACCAAAGCCTCACCATCTCATCATAAAAAAAACAACTTTAAAGTTCCGCCGCATTAGGTCCGCCAAGTTTCCTTCCCGTCATGCTAAGAAAATTACGTCAAGTGCTAAACACAATCAGACTCGCCTTTATTACGTCAAAGCCATCGCCTCTATACACTTCTGCCAAAATGAACACACAACCAGGTAGGCTTTCAATTACTGCTCTTTCCAAACATACCGCTAGGTGTCGTCCTTACACTGTAGGCCTGTGACAGGTCCCACAATGCACCTCACTCAACTTTGACCTGCCCCATTGCATGACGGGAAACAAAATGGCGGCGCCCATAAAATCCAGGTAAAATAGAACAGGTTTTGCTATCGCAAACCTGTAATTCGTCCGACCAAAGAAGACCCTACAAAGTTGCCAGGTGAGGCCGCAAGGTTTGTTTTTCGATTTGCTACTGTAAAAGTGTATAACATGTGCATGAGGGGAGGGGGCTAGTACTAGTACTAGTACTAGTATATGCAATGTACCTTCAGTTGATTTGTTTTCTTCACCATATGTGTTGTTATACGGGTCTAGGATAAGTTTTGGAGTGTGTCAAATAAGGGGATGAATTTTAGGAAGTAGAGGTCAAAGAAAGTCATCGTCATAATTTGTGGATGTTTGTTTGTTTACTTTTTTGTTTATATTTTGTGTAGATACAAGCCCACATCCCAGGAGCATTTTGATGACTTAACCACAGACTATGCTAACTTACTGTGGATGCTATTCAGCAGGTGTGGACTCATCATACTTGTTTGTTGTTTGTTTGTTTGTTTATATTATGTTTAGTTGACCTGACTCCAGACTGTATAATTATATAAACCTACTGTGGATGATATTCAGCATGTCGTGTACTCATGATGTTTATTTGTTTGTATTTTGTGTAGATGATGTGGGCCCAAATCATGTGAAGCTACAATTCAGATGATACTCAAGATGTTTGGGACAGACTGCAGCTGATTACTGTAAGTTTGAAGGTAAATCTTTAGTACATGTATCAAATAACACATGGCATAATAGATATGAGGATCAAAACTGTTCTTTTTTTTCTTTATTCCAACATGTAATCACAAGACGTGGTGACGGCACACTCAAGTTTTATAAACTTATATTAATGCCGCCACCAACATTTCCACCTGAGCGAAGTGAGGAAAGTCGTGTAAAGTGCCTTTCCCAAGGGCACAAGATTGGTGGCATGTCAGGACTCGAACCCGGGACCTCTAGGTTCCGAGTCGAGCACTCTGCCGCTACGCCACACGACCCCATCAAAACTGTTTATATCCAATGGCAGTGGGATAGAGAAGGAGGGACTGTGTGTGTTATTGTCAGGAGTTTCTCTGTTGTACTGGTTGGCCTGTAACAGTTCCAAAAGAAAGACGTCTCCTGGACTTTTAATAATCAAAGGTGTCAACTTTGGACATATCTGCAAGGTATCTACAACTACTACAAACTATCTACAACTACAATGTACTACAAACTCATATTAAAGAGTAATTTTAGAACTTGTAGGAAATAATAAGAAAAGACAAACACACAGCCATGAAATAGAAATTGAATGATTTTTTTTATTCCTTAGATTTGGAGAACAACTAATCCTGATTAATATAGTTTGGGACACCTTAATCTTAAACTTAAAAAAACAACTTTTAAGTCCTTCTGAAGTGCTGTTTTTATTTTCCACTCATTTCACACCATCTCTGATTTCTTTTCTATTGTGTCCATGCTCATTACTTATGACATATGTAAGTCCACAGAGAGCTGTGGGCATTAACTTCATTTAAGACAGCTTTGCAAAATTAAAAGGCTTTGAATTTAATAGCTAGGATATAGCATTTAGCGTACATGTACATATTAATTTACCTCATCTTTTAAATTTGTGTTAGTCTTACAATACAAATAAGTTACATAAAACTTTAAAAAGCTTGACATACACGTTATAGGTCTTGCATTATTGGCTAGAATTTTCATTATTATTTTAATATGCTAAGGATAACTAAGGATATGTTTTCATTTCATAAGTTTGTAGCATGCTGGTTTAAAGTTTTTGACAATTATACTCGATCCTAATATGTTTTTTTGCTTCTGACTTGATATTGATCATGTCAATTTGCTTTTCAATAGTTTTTATCAGTTGGTGATGTTTGTCCTGAGGGAAAACCTGCTTTACCATAGCCAAGGCTTCTTGGCAGAGACTGAGGGCTTTCTTGTTATCACCATGGAATAAAAAGGCCATCCCCAGGTTGTTGAGTGAGATGGCAATGTGAGGATGTGCTGTACCCTGACCATAGATACTCCTGCATGTCTGCAGTGCCTGTTCATAGTAGTCAATTGTTTTTCTGTAATCACCCAGGTGCCCCCAGGCTTCCCCCAGGTTATTGAGAAAGGTGTAAATGTCAGGATGTGCCATCTTGCCATAGATACTCATTTTAATCTGGAGTGCTTGTTCATAGTAGCTGATAGTTTTTCTGTAATCACCAAGTGAATGCCACACTGTTGCCAGGTTGCTGAGTGAAGTGGCAATGTCAGCATGTTCTGTATCCTTATCATAGATATTCCTGTACATCTGCAGTGCCTGTTCATAGAAGCTGACTGCTTTTCTGTAATCACACAGGCCATTCCATGCTGAACCCAGGTTATTGAGTGAGGTGGCAATCTCAGAATGTGCTGTAGTTTCACCATAGATAACCTTGTACAACTGTAGTGCCTGTTCGAGGTATCTGATTGCTTTCCTGTGATCACCCAGGTTACGCCAGGCTTCCCCCAGGTTGTTGAGTGAACTAGCAATGTCAGGATGTGCTGTACTCTTTCCATAGACACTGCTTCTCATCTGCAGTGCCTGTTCATGGTAGCTGACTGCGTTATTGTAATCACCCAGGTCACTCCAGGCTAACCCCAGGTTGCTGAGTGACAAGGCAATGTCATGATGTGCTGTTCTAGGTCCATGGATACTCCTGTACATCTGCAGTGCCTGCTCATAGTAGCTGATTGCTTTCCTTTGATCACCCAGGTCACACCAGGCCCATCCCAGGTTGTTGAGTGAGATGGCAATTTCAGAATGTGCCATACCTTTACCATAGATACTTCTGTTCATCTGAAGTGCCTGTTCATAGTACCTGATAGCTTTCTTGAAATCATGCAGTTTACTCCAGGCAACACCCAGGTTGTTGAGTAGCAAGGCGATGTTATGATGTTCTGTACCCTGACCATAGATTATCCTGTACATCTCCAGTGCCTGTTCATGGTATCTGATTTCTTTACTGTGATCACCCATATTGCCCCAGTCTCCCCCCAGGTTGTTGAGTGATCTGGCAATGTCAGGATGTGCTGTACCCTCACCATGGATACTCCTGTTCATCTCCAGTGCCTGTTCATGGTACCTGACTGCCTTTTTGTAATCACCCAGTCTACCCCCAGCTGACCCCAGGTTGTTTAGTGTGGTGGCAATATCAGGATGTAGTGTACTCAGCCCAAAGATACTCCTGCGCATCTGTAGTGCCTGTTCAAAGTAGCTGATTGCTTTGCTGTAATCACCCAATTCCTGCCAGGCACTCCCCAAGTTGTTCAGTAAGGTAGCAATGTCAGGATGTGCTGTACTATGACCATAGATAGTCCTGCATATTTGCAGTGCCCGCTCGTATGCTCTGATTGCTTTTCTGTAGTTACAGAGGTCACTCCAGGCTGACCCCAGGTTGTTGAGTACGGTGGCAGTGTTTGGATGTGCTGTACCATTACTATAGATACTGTCTATCTGCAGTGCCTGTTCGAAGTAGCTGATAGCTTTTCTGCAATCACTTAGACAGAACCAAGCTGTCCCTAGGCTGTTGAGTGAGTTAGCAATATTAAAATGTGCTGTACCCTGACCATAGATACTCCTGTGCATCTGCAGTGCCTGTTCATGATAGCTGATTGCTTTTCTGTAATCACCCAGGCCACCCCAGGCTCCCCCCACGCTGTTGAGTAAGTTAGCAATGTCAGGATCTGCTTTAGTCTGGCCATAGATAGTAACTGATTCCATTCCTGTCATCACCCACCATATGATAAACAATTCCAATATCATATAGTATCTCCATTTTTTCTATGTTATTGGCATCAGAATTCTTAAGTGCCTCATGATAGCAGCTGAGGGCCTGCTCATACTTGCATATCTCATGGTACATCTGTCCTTGTACCCTTGAGGAATTGTCATATAAACCAGGGAATAAATTTACAAATTGCCTTATCTTGAGGCCATTCCTGCAGAACACTTTTCAGAGGAACTGCTGTATGATAGTACCTGAAAAGCTGTTGGTCATTTGGTACATGGAAAACTGGTATCAATACACTTGCTTGTGCTTCTGAATCATTATTGCTCTGTAGGGATGATTCCTGTGCTGTTTCCATTGAGGCCAAAGCTGACAGGTTTTCCTTCTGTCCACCATTTGCGATGTACGTTCTGAGCCTGAGTTCTGCTGAGATGCTGGTAAGCACTGTCAGGTGGTGTGCATTGTTGGGACTGATCACTTGTTGGTTTTCCATTTCTTCTATTGTCTCCCAAACTGTGGTTGGTATGATAAGTGAAGACAGTGCCAAGCAGTCCACTGCTAAAGCTGGGAAGCGATAGATTTCTTTCTTCACATCAATCAGCTTTGCTGTACATGTTATAATTGCTTCCTCATTGCTGATCCTTTCCATGTTTTCCTTCCTTATCTCTTGTGCCAGTTGTTGAGCCATTTTCCCCCCATCAGCTCGCAGTATCTTCACTGTGATGGCCATGTATGTGTCAATCAAATTCTGGTCCCCTGCTATCAGGCATGGGTTTCTCAAGATAGTGGCAAGATGATATCCCTCCTTCAGGTACAGTGTGACATCCTTTTGTACTATTGAAACCATGTTTTGTGGGGTGCAGATGAGTTCACTGGGTGGTTTGTTCCAAGTTCCCTGCCTGCCTAGTGGAGTCTTGCTTGCCTTTGGCATGGAGCCATCAAATGCAAACCCACGTGGTGTAACAGAGTCATAGAACCAGTCATCAAGTGGGTTCTCAGAGTAGAAGTCATTGAGAGATTTTATTGCCAGTGCTGGGAGAATGGTTTCTCCAAGTTTGACCACCTTGAGGTGTAGATAGTGGGTGAGGTTGCGGAAATACACAAGACATTCTTCACTTTCCTCTTCTACCGAAGATGGCAAACTCCAGGTCTGAGTATGGAGTTACCAGTCCTGTGGCCTGTGAACCCAAACCCATCAGGGCATACTTACAGGGAGGGTGACCCATTAACCCAATACACTCTTCTACAAGCTGGCCGATGAACTCTTTCCTTTTTGTGTCAATTTTCTCAAACAACTGTCTGACAGCCTTAGCTCGTTTGCCTCTATCTCTTTGACACATGGGTCGTCCTCATCATGTACATAGGGATCCAGCTGCTGGTCAATGGTTTCCATCTCCAGCTTGATCTGGTCCCGTATCTCCTTCAGCTGTTTTTTGTGTGTTTCTGTGTTGTCTTGAGCTACACAATCAACATTTAAGATACATTTCAGAAACAACTTGTCTACTTCTCTAATAGCTGTTGCTAAGTTACCATTGAGGACTTGATCCTCTGACCTGGCTATTGCTGCATTGTAGAGTGCTGCTGCTTTGACCAAGTCTCCCCCGTCTCCTGCCTGCTGACCTCGCTTACTGTAGACATCCCCCAACTTGCACAGGGGCTCCACCTCTCTCTGGTACTGCTGGGCTGTGGGGTCTGGGGAGAAACAACTTCATGTTCCAAATGCAATGTAATGTTTTTCCTCTCTTTGTTTCATTGCTTTGTCTTCAGAAATGAAGACTGTAATTGATGTTCGGTTTCAGTTTGTATGTTTGTTAGTTTTCCTCCTTACCTCTCACATGCACCATCTTGAGTGCAGCTGCAAAGTGCTGCTCTGCTGAGTCCAGGTCTGATCTGGCAAGGGAGGAGTCTCCTTCCTTAAGGTGGTCTTGGTATAGTCTTAAAATGAAAAGCAAGGGTCTTAGACTGTTAGGCACCCTTTTGGTAAAATAGTAAATATCTGGTCAGTGAAATTGTAAGCACAGTCTTATACTATAGCATAGAGTATAGCTTGTTCTTAATAATGTCAGGTTAACTTTGAAGTTTATTGTACACTTTCCCAACCTTGTTTCATCTTGATGGAGATGTTGGTCCTTGTTCATGTAAGTTCTGATGTTCCCAGACTGGTGCCCTATGTGTGGTTTTCTGTCTCCCTGTCTTGGTTTCTTTGATGATGGTTTCTGTAAGATTTAAACTACATTTGCACCACAATTCACTGCATTTGTTGTTACAATATACATATATAGTACTTATATTTATATAAGTTGTGTAACATACTATGATATCCATTGCTTTATATATAGTTTGATGTGATGGCCTTTACCTGCTACTAATAATCGTAAATGTCTACTACAGTGTACTTACATTTTTCACTTCTTCCCTGATCTTCTCCATGTACTTGATGCGATGTTTCAGAGTCAGTTTTGTACCAGGATCCCCACATGTTGTCAGGGCCTTGTTGTACATGGCAGCTGCCTTGGAGAACTGGGATACATCAGAGGTTGTCTTGCCTTTCTCGAGGTAAAAATCTCCAAGGGATTTTAGAACCTCAAGCTCCAAGAACATGTCGCTGTTCCCAATTGCAGTCGCTAACATTTCTGTGTAAGTCTGTTCAAAGGAATTTCTGACACTTCTGTCCAGTTTGTCACAAATCTCTGCCACCCTTAAGACATTTCTGTCAGCAGGGCCCCAGTAGTCTGGTGACAGCCACCGGAAGTGTGGACTGTACCCCTGCAGCAGTTGTCTGGAGAGTTTCTCCATGTAGCGGATACGATGTTCTACCGTTTCACCTACATCTGGATCTTTGCAGCGCAGTAAGGCAGCAGCATACAGGGCAGCAGCCTTGTCAAACTCTGCTGAATCTTTACAGAGCTTTGCTTTCTCAAGACGCAGGTCTCCAAGACTTTTCAGGACTTCTACTTCCATAAAGTCATCCTTTTTAACAATGGCTTCTCTCAGAGCCTGTCCATAACCGACTTCTTGTCCATGTTGACTCTTGAGGCACAACTCCAAGTTGTGTAGCTTGTTTGCCAGGCTGGTCATGTTGATTTCAGACATCTTCAATTTTTCATTTTCATCTCTCCTGTTATATCAAACGTTGACAAAAGGACTCTGAGAACACATTCTTATTCCATGACAAAATTTTTGATACCATGTAATGTACTGTTGGGTGTAAGTGGAAATGATCATGAGTCCCTACGTATACAGTACTTAAGGTAAATTATTGTGGAGCCAAAATGGACAGAAACTTGTGTGGTGACTGTGAGCCATCTGTTGCATTTAACTTGCAAGCTATGTAGGTGACAGAGAAGGATATTACAAAAAAAAGAAAAAGATAGCAATGTCTGTGCCATGTTTTGTTTTGTTGACAAGTACCAGTACTCTAGAACCCATGCACAGGTTAAGTTAAGGTTGAACTGTCTAAATCTCACTAAACGTTACATGCAGAAAGCCCATGTTGGTCTTCAACTATTTTCTGATTAGCCCACAGTTCTAAAATTGGGGGTAATTCAACCAGGCCAGCTATGTTGTCTATATGCATATAGAATCAGAAATCAGGAATCAGAAAATAGCACATAAAAGCTCCCAAAGACCCTGAAGACCCCCAGTTTTTGGCATGCAATGGAGGCTAACATGTATAGATGCCTTTTAAGTTCTAAACCTCACCTGAATGTCTCAGAGCCTCCACAGCTGTGTACTCAAATGTCCATTCCTCCCCGTACTTCCTTGTGAGAGTTCTGTGTTTCCCCTGGCTGACTCAGGGACTTCCCCATTACGTCATGCCTCATGTCAACAGTCTTTTGTATACCTGTGCAAATAGCAACCAGGGCCTGAAAGGCCATGCGTTCAACCTGTTTACAGTCTGGGTTCACTGGGCTGTGTGAATGTTTAACTCTGTCACTACGGTCCTGGGCATGAGCCTTTCTGTGAACCTGCCTGGGTAGAGACTTGTCTCTTCCTCCCTGTACTGGTGAGACTGAGAGAGCCTATGGTGGTTGCTTTGGTTGGGGGGATGGGTTGTTAAATTTTGCCCTTAAGTACCTCCAAAGACATAAGGAGAGAGCAGTCTCTGTGGCACATGGTTATTTAATTACTAGAGTCTTGTCTTTTCTCCATGTAGACTCTGACTCACTTATTATATAATAACTAAACACAGAACTTGCTTCCTTGTTTCACTTCCGGGTCTTTCCATTTTGTCATGTTTTTTTGTTTGACTGGATTCGTTGCCTGGGGCTGAAAGGTCACACACAACGTTGCATATTTACATACAGTATGGTTCACTGGTCTCTGTGAATGTTCAGGCACAGTGGTAGAGGATATGAAAAAGTTCTGCACACATAAAATGTATTGAGAGTTAAAATATGAATTGAGAGAACAACTTTTGCATTATGAAGCAAGATTAAACTGTAATTTCCAACACAATAAATTGGACTCACCCATTGGTTGTTGTTTGATGTGTTGGAAATTACAGTTTAAACTTGCTTCATAATGATTTCTACCAACACCGATGAACTTTCAAGGTATCTTTTGCATTAGGCTGACTATTGTTGGCAGTATTCTTCCTCTTCTAAAGCCACACCAATTTAATTTGTTGTTTCTTGGATTCGCCTATTTTTTTCTGATTTGAAAAAAAAAGATTTCAGGTTCTGAATCAACTGCAAAATGCTCAATGAAAGTAAATATATTTTGGCCCCAACAGTGGAAGAAGTCCTTTTCTCCCTACTAATTCTACTTGGTGAAGTTTTTCAATGTACGAGGGTGGATCAAAAAGTTCTCGGCCTCACCTAGAAAACGTCGTGGCAGAAAAAAATTTCTTACACTATGTTTCAACATAGTCCCCTCTAACTGCAATGCACTTGGTCCAGTGATGTTCCGGGTTTGTTTTCCCCTTGTGGAAGAAGGTTGAATCTGGAGCCCCCAGATAGGGCTCACCCGCACTGATGACGTCATCATTACCATAAAAACGTTGACCACGTAAGTGGAACTTCAGTTTAGGAAATAGGTAGAAGTCCGAGGGTGCTAGGTCAGGTGAATTGGAAGGGTGGGGTTAGACTTCAAAGCCAAATTCGTTTGCTGCTGTCACTGACCCCTGTGCTGTGTGGACAGGTGCATTGTCATCACGCCAGCTCGGTGCTTTCCTCTCCTTATCTCTTTGATCGTTGTCCTCAACTGTTGCTATTCTGTTAAATAGTACTCCCCATTGATGTTTTAACCTATTCACAGGTATTCAGTCATGATTACTCCCTTGCTGTCCCAGAAAACAGAGACAAAACCCCTGTCAACGGATGAAACTCGATAAAACTTCTTGGGGGCCGGGAAACATTCTTCATTCATTGTTTGTTCTGTTGTTTTGATTTGGGGTGAAAGTGGTGAAACCATGTCTCATCTTGGGTGAAAAATGTTTTGAGGTAATTGCATGGATTGGACTGAATTCGTTCCTTGAAATGTCCAGCTTGTTTAACTTCTGATGTTCAGAAAACAATTCTAGGCACCCACCTTACAGACAGGTTGCTCATCCCCAGGATGTCTGACAAAACATTGTGAACAGAGCCACAACACAGGCTAAAGACTCTGCTACATGTTGGACAGTCTCACATCTGTCATTTACTACCATGTGATGGATGGCCTCAACTGGATTGTCCATGGTGCTGATTTGTGGCATCCTGACATATGTTCATCTTTGGTGCTCACCTTGCAGCGCTTGTAGCTAGCAACCCACTTCTTTATAGTTGAATAAGAAGGAGAGTCATCACCAAGTGTCCTGACCATGTGTTCATGGATTTCCTTACGAGAAATCCCTTTTTATCGACCTACATGATCACAGCACACGCTTCTGTTGCGGCCATTTTGTGATTTTGCCCTCACCCGCCCCATTTTCACGGGGCGTCACGTGCTAACTAATGAATATAGAAATTTGAATTTTTGTGTGCAGTGATGTAAGACATCATAGTATACAGTTATACTAAAGAATAGGAGTTTGCCCTTTATTTTCTAGGTGAGGCCGAGAACTTTTTGATCCACCCTCGTAACAATGCAACTTGGTTTCATTAAATGTTCAAAATATCTATTGTTTTAATCATAAATCAGCCTGCTATGTTCACTTCATGGCTTATATCGTAACATTTCCAGCTATCCCTTGCCTATGGTAAATCGCTTAATAAAGTCCATCAAAGTACAATTTTTACTTAATGTGTTTCATGTGTTTTTTTTCAGGGTCTGATCTACCGGTTCAAGTTCCTGATGCTGTTCACTCTCCTGTGTGCTGCCACGACTGTCATCTTCTTCATCATCAGCCAGGTAGGAACAATGTGTAATGCAGTTACAGTTAACTTTATTTGCAAAATCATGCCCGGAGGCTAATTGCTTTTACACTCAAGTATATGATCAGTACAATACTGGAAATAAAGCCAATCACAGTATATAGTCACAGTGTCAGGATACAGCCTATGAATAAAATTCAAGACATGAACACCACAGACAAAGACTGGAGTTGAACACCTCCATTTTATTCCTCTCCTAATCTAATTATAATAATAAGGTACATTTGAAGTCCCTGTCTACTGTCAACTCTACCATCTTCCAGCGTCTTCTCTCTCTCTACTGGTCCCTAACAACTTACAATGATTATATGTAACTTATGTTGTATGGTATGTTCTATATATGCTCAGTATGCAATTTAACTCACTAATTAAAAAGCTATTGAAGATACAAATTTGATTTAAAACTATACCTACAATTTCTCATTCTAACTAGATCAACTTTCAGCACAGTATATCTTTTAACAGTGAATTCTAAACATACATTGCATTAAACAGTATACACAGTAATTAATTAAACTAGCCATCACCCCAACATGTGGTGTTAAGTTTACTGAAAGCTATAAAAATCACAGATTATTCCTGATTAATTCCCACAGTCACCACAGTTATTAAACATTTTTTTTTGTTTATATACATATAAGAGATATATTTGATTTACAAGAAAAGGATCCATTTTGAAGTAAAATGTTGGTCAGTTTCATACAGTAGACTAAAACCATTGGCCAGGCCTCCAGGTTCTAGTTCTGTTTTTGCTACAATAATGTTGTTTCTATCATCGTAAGTACTATAAATATATACATTGTAATGTTTAGTATGATTCCACACAATCTTTCATATATCAGTTTAGGTACGTGTATCTTCTATCTACATCATCCTACTTTATGTCTGTCCTCGTAACACCTTTCCTTGAGACCAGGTACTGTTTTGTGGCCCTTTAAAAAAATTTCTGTCCTACTACCTGTACATGTATACTGTGCGGTAACTACATTTGGTGCCACATACAACATAAGTATATAATGGTAAATATGCAATCTAGCTCACTAAGTATACATGCAATGTTACAGTCAAATTGTAACTAGAATTTGATTCCAGCAAAGTATACCTTTAACTGTGCATTGTACACAATGTATCAAAAAGTATCATAATAATCAAACTAGCCCTGCCACCATATTAAATATATGGTGTTAAAGAAAGCTATAATACAGGGTATTTCTTAAATGCACACCACAGTTTATAACATTTTAATTTTGCTTTTGTTGATGTACAGATGATAAAAGGTATATTTTGATTTACAAGAAGAGGATGCATTTTTATCAGTTTTACGTGTATAGAGTAGACTTAAACCTTCAACCATTTGATAACAGCTACTATATAATATTTATTAGGTCTCCACACAATCCACAATATACTACTTCTCTCTGAGCCCAGGTCATCTTTTTTGGCCCTTTCGGTCTCTACTAGTACTACCAATGTCTACATGTGTGGTAACTATATGAGTGCACCTTACTCTAAATGTGTCTAGTATGTTTCAGATTTACACACAAGCACCAAAACCTTTTCATCCACAAATTTAGTCAAAAGTCAAACCTGCAATCTGGTTTGTTTTTCTGGGCATAGATGTCAGGACTTGGTTTTTAGGGAGTAAGTATGGGAGCCCCGGTATACAAGTAGGATGGCACCCAAGACTCTACTCAGGGCCAACCATTGTTTTTAGAGAGTAATTCTTAAAAAGCAACTGCTATTTGTTGTCTAATCTATCAATCAACTATAAAATCAATCATCTACTGGCATTGTAAACCATGAGGCATATTTTACGATTTATAAATTTTAACAATATTTAATAATATGTAATAATGTTTTAATAATAATACCCATATTTCAATGATATTTTGTGACCTCAGAGCAATTCAGGCAGCCAGTATGGCTGCCTGCGAGTCTGTTGTCAGTGTAATGGTAATTGAAATTGTGTATGTCTGGAGTTTGCAATTTTGAAATAAACCATTCTACATCAAGGATGTGTATGTGTGCTGCTGCTGACTGCTGGGGTTCCTCAGGGGTTCATAGTGGTGAGGGCTATCGTCTATGGTGTTGTACTCTGCTGTGTCAGGGTCCTCATCTGTTGGGACGTTATAGATATGCAGGCTGTCATCTCTATTGAGACGTGGTGTTTTAGACTGACTGTTTATTTCAGAATCTTCATTTGTTGTAACTTTACTCAGACTTATCTGGTCATGACCACTGGATGTGCCTGTGGGGTTTGTGTTGCTCAAGCCTTGCAGAGGAGTAGGATCCCTTTGCCTCCTCTTATACATGCACCCTACTGCAAAGCCAACAGTGCAGATAAGGAGGAGTCCAAGAATAGCTCCCATAGTAGCAAGAATGGGCACAGACAGGACAATGCCACCGGCAGCAGGGCCAGTATTGCTCTCTGTCATTGTCGACTGAAAACCAAAAGGAGAATCAGTACTGACTGTAGACCAGCCTGGGTTAGAGTCAGCAGTAGGAGTGTTGCTCTGTGTTGGGAACAATGTTGTTGATGTGAGAGCGTTGCTCTGTGTCAGTGTTGGGGACAATGTCAGTGCCTTTGCTGTTGACTTAACTGACTGATGAAAAGGAGTAGAGCTGCTGACTGGAGACAAGCTAAGAGTAGAGTCAGTAATGTGTTTTGTGCTAGAAGTGGAGTAGACTGGTGTCGTCTCCTCACAGATCAGGTCTTCAGAATTTACATCCCGTAAGTATTGCCCTGTAAGGTTAGCAGGTTCGACACATCTGATCTGGTCTTCAAATGGGTACGACCCGTTCATCCTCTGCTTAAAGGGAGCCATCCTACAGTCACACTGCCAGGGGTTGTTGCCAATGTTTACATCAGAGATGGAAGCCAGTATGTCATATGCCATGACTGGTAGGGTCTCTAATTCGTTATTATCTAATGTAAGCTCTGACAGTGCTGAAATCTGTAAATTTGATAAGGCCTCTACAGGGAAAGTGCTGATGTTGTTATGAGAAAGTCTCAGTGTTTGAAGCTGAAGTAGGTTCCCAAATGTGCCAGCTGTGATGGTGCTGATGTTGTTGTACTGAAGCTCTAGTATACGTAGCTGTGTTGTGTCAATGAAGGTGCCTGTCTCAATACTGTGGATGTTATTACTGCCAAGGTAAAGCCTCTGTAAGTTACCAAGTCCCTCAAATATGTCAGCTGGCAGACTTGTTAACTGGTTATTGTAAAGCCACAAGCGCTGCAGATTACCAAGTCCCACAAATATGCCAGCTGGCAGAGTTGTTAACTGGTTATTGGAAAGATACAAGTACCGCAGCCTACCAAGTCCCACACGAAGCCGCACGAATATGCCAGCTGGCAGACTAGTTAACTGGTTAGCGTGAAGATGCAAGGACTGCAGATAACCAAGTCCCACAAATATGTCAGCTGGCAGACTAGTTAACTGGTTATTGGAAAGAACCAATAAAAACAGATTACCAAGTCCCACAAACATATCAGCTGACAGACTAGTTAACTGGTTATGTTCAAGATACAAGCCCTGCAGTTTACGAAGTCCAGCAAATATGTCAGCTGGCAGACTAGTTAACTGGTTACGGAAAAGATACAAGGTCTTCAGATTACCAAGTCCCACAAATATGTCAGCTGGCAGATCTAGACTAGTTAACTGGTTATTGGAAAGAGACAAGGACTGCAGATTACCAAGTCCTTCAAATATGCCAGCTGTTAGATTAGTCAAATGATTATCACGAAGGCTCAGTGTAGTCAGGCTGGTTAAGTTGTGGAATGTTTTGTTATGGATCGTGGAGATCATATTTCTGGGAAGGAATAAACTTGTCAAGCTCCTGTACCTTGAGAAATCAGACTGACTTAAGGTTGTGATGGCATTTCCATACAAGTGAAGCTGAGTGATGTCTGTAGGCAGGTACTGAGGAACACTGGTGAGGCCTCTTCTGATGCAGGAACAGACTGATGAACAGATGCTGCTGCAGGTGTAGTCCCACTGGGCTGCGGTCGGGCCAGCTTCCTGCAGGATGATCAGCAGAAGAACCAGCATCCTCCTCGCTTTGTTGGACATACTGAAGTGTCACCTGTACAACAGAGATGAGATGCATCAGCATCAAAGTTCAGCTTTGTTGGCAGGATTCACACTGATAACCCAAAAGCTTTTATTGTAAGATCTGTATCACTTCTTCTGAGGCCCAACTGCAACAGTTGTATGTACCGAAAAACATATTACAGTTGACCTATAAAAGCAGAAAGGTCTGATGCAGTGCCATCAAAATCCACTAGGAGGCCCAGTCACACTAATTATTTCACATCGTTTTGCTGACACCTAGACACATTCCAAACATCACACAAATCTATCCACATCTTCCCAAATTATCAACTGAAGGTACATGTATTAATCTAATCTGACTAATATTCAGGGTACGCATTCATGCAATTTTGAAAATATCTTCAGAGCAATCATTCATAACGCTGTAAAATTGCCTCCACCCCTGAAGTGTCATCAAAAAAGGTAAGGCTTAACTGGAAGAACAACATGAAAACAAAGTCTTGGGAAAGTCGGTATCTTTGTTTAATATATTTAATAGGCACACACAATTTTAGGGAGTGACAAAGTTGAAAGATGCAAGCTTAAAATCCTCTCAGCGCCTGAAGTTTTAATGTGACAGCTGTACTTCCATGTAAAACTGTCCTACAGCCAACAAATCAACTTGTTGAAGCCTTATATGGCAAAGAAAAGTGCGAATTGGGAAACTAACCTTGGCAGAGATCCCTAAGAATTAAATCCTGCTCCAGTCTTTGAAGAAAGAACATTTAGTTACTACAAGGCCCAGATTTTTCAGTGGCCCAAGACAAAGAAATGGTGTCTGTAAAAATAAAAAAAGGTGTGTAACACACAATGTATAGTACCATTTTGGTTTATTACCTCCATGAAAATGGAGGTATTGTTTTTTGCGCGTCTGTGTGTTTGTGTTTCCGCACATTTGTAGTCAGCATAACTTCAGAACGCCTTTATGGATTGTGATGATATTTGGTCTGTTGGTAAGTCTTAGGAAGACAAAGGTCAAGGTCAAATATGGGCCTCCTGGTGGATGACCTTGGTACTGCAGCAGAATTTCCAGTTTTTGTATCTTTTGTCATGAACATGCTATGGTCTAGACTTTTGGGTGACAGATAGCTTATCCTGTCAGGAATAAGTGGTGTGAGTTTGGTCCCCCTAGCAGCTTGTTCTGGAACTGCAGGGCACTTTCTGACGAAATCTTTAAAAGCCAATAAGTCCAGATAGGAACATCCTATTTTCATCATTTTTGGTGTGTAGGTTACTGAGAGAGAGTTGTACATAATTAAATGCAAATTATGCAAATGATGACCTAATTTGCATACTTAATGAGGAAATGCTATAATTACAGTGTTTTATATAATACATGTAGTACTTTTATAGATGTAATCTATTTAATATGTGGCAGGCAGAACATCAATAGATACCAATTATGCAAATGATGACCTAATTTGCATAATTAATGTGAAAATTCTGTGACACCTTATTGGTGAATGATGGGACTTTTACACCTTGTGACATGTGTAAGTTACTGAAAGGTTAACACCACTATGCATATATTATGTTAATGTGGAGGACATTTGCATAATTAATGAGGACATGTTGAAATGAAGTATGACAAAGTAGAGGAATTTTACATTATATGGAAAGTAGGAAATCTTTTATCTCCTAAAACATTTATTACTCTCTATTATGGTCTTATCCATCCTTACTTAAGTTATTGTAATATTGTATGGGCAAGTACGTACATTACATCACATAAACCACTCTTTTTGCTTCAGAAACGATACATCACAATAGCGTCAAAAGTTTCATTTACTTTCCCTACTGCACCATTGTTGGAAAAGCTCAAAATACTGACCATAAATGACATAAATAAACTACAAACCAGTATTTTAATGTACAAGATAATAAATAAATGTCCTTTCCTTCCTGATAATAAATCACAACTTAAAATAATAGAATGTGGTGTCCCACAGGGTTCGATACTAGGACCCCTACTTTTTTTGATTTATATAAATGACCTCGAAAAAGCATCCTCAATTATATTCTTTATCCTATTTGCAGATGATTCAAATCTTTTTCTTTCAAACTCGAATTTTGATACGCTAGTAAACCTGGCTAACGAAGAATTGAAAAAGGTTATATCGTGGTTTGAGGCAAATAAATTATCAGTCAATGTTAAGAAGACATACTACCTTATTTTCTGTAATAGAAATAAAACCTACAATAGAAGCGCCAAAATCTTTTTAAAAAATGTAACCCTTTCTCAAGAGAGTCAAGCCAAATTCTTAGGTATAATCATTGATGAACGATTGACCTGGAAACCACATATAACTATGTTAGGTAAAAAATTTCAAAAACTATCGGTATTATTGGAAAACTTAAACATCTTCTTACTCAAAAAAACATTATTACCATATACATTTTTGTACAATAGCTTAATATACCCATATCTAACCTACGGGAATATAGTCTGGGGATGCGCCTACAAAACCACACTACAGCCCCTAGTATTACTCCAAAAAAGATTTGTTCGTTCAGCCACCGGCGCCAGTTTCCACGCACATTCTGCACCTTTGTTTACAAAACTTAAGATTTTGAATATTTTTGATATAAACAGACTTCATCTGATGCTATTTACGTTTAAATTCCTTACTTATTCTCTTCCAGACACATTTAACGGTCTTCTAAATCTTAATTCCCATTTTCATACTTACCAAACTCGACAAAGTGCCCATTTCCATATCCCCCTAGTTAGAACGTCCGTAGCTCAAATGAGTGTAAAATATAAATGTATAACTACTTGGAATAATCTCCCACTCCACCTAAAATGTTTAACATCAATAATCAGCTTTAAACGAAATCTTAAAAATCACCTACTTTTCTTTCCCATCGACATTTGATATCTATTACTTTGATTTCACCTGTATAGGTTTGAATTTCTTTTTAAAATTCATTAAATTTTTTTCTTGAGTTATTTCTTCAATTCTGCGAATTGTCTGTACTGCAGTTAAAGTTCTGTTAACCTATGTTCAAACATACCATTTCTAATTAGCGTTATTTATCAATCACTTTTGTTATTCATTGTTACTATTTGTTTTGTTACCATTATCATATTGATCATATTGATCAAACTTATTAATTACTTATTGTTATTTATTATTACCATTTGATTTGTTAGCATTATTTCAGTTGTTAATCAATTTTGTCGGGGAAGATCCCAGACAAGCCACTATGGCTTCATATCTTTCCCCAGCATTTTATTTTATTGTCAGTAATATGTTCATTTTATTGTTCTTAAATATATGCGAACCAATAAACAAACAAACAAACCTTCCACCTACACCTTCTTATTAAACTCAGATATCCACATCCACTTCACGTAGTTTGGCCAAGACCGAGAGGAGTGACACTGGCCTCATGTCCTGGGCTCGAGATGCACCGGCACATTTGGGCACAGGGACAACGTTTGCCGACTTCCATGCCAGGGGTACAGTTCCCTCTTCATACGAGGCATTGAATAAGTGGGCCACTATCGGGGCGAGGTCGTCTGCGAATTCTTTCAAAATCCAGTTGGGCAGACTGTCTGGGCCGGAGGACTTTCTGGATTTGACAGATTTGAGAAGACTCTTAACCTCCCCGATTGAACACAGTTCAGGACCTGGCTCTCCGAGTGGAAGAGGGAACATGCAGAGTGGCGCCCCTTGACACCATGCCTCAGAGAAGTGCTGGCTAATCGTTTCCGCCACCTGTCCCGGTGGGGTCCCGTCCATGGACGCAGAGAGTCGTGACTTCTGCGATCTACCCAGCTCCCGGTTAATACACGACCACTATCTACGTGGGTTTTCCTGTTTTAGCTGTTGTATGCAGTGAAGATAATGCCAGCCTTTGGCTTGCTGGACCACCGTTTTCACCTTGTTTCATAGCTGTTTCCACTTAGGTGACTTTCCGTGTCTCTGGAATTCTTCTTGCCTTTGTGAGATGGCTCTTTTCACCCTTTCGGTCATCCAACCTTTGTCATTCGTACGAACTGACTTGACTTTTGCCGGGAAGTGTTGCTTTACAAGGCCCATGACGATGTCATAGAACTCCCCAACTTTCTCTTCCACGGACGTGGCGTCGATAACTCCAGCCCAGTCAGTTGTGGCAATGTCAAGGGCAAATCTAGTTTTGTTGGCATATGTGACCAGTCTACGCAACAGTCTCCTGAGGAGATTACTTCCATCCATCCTACCGGTCATCAAGGACCAGTACGCGTATATATATGTAAAGGTGTGCCACAGGGCGGAGTCCTCTCTCCCTACCTGTTTCTACTCTTTATGAGTTCGCGCACCACGGTACATCATGACACCACAAACGTTGGGTATGCAGACGACGTTGGTCTCTCAAGAACTCTTGCTGTACCCACAGCCGACCTAGATACAACCGTGGCGGAGGAGACTTCTCACCTTGACTGCTGGGCGGAGGAAAACAGGATGATCCTGAATGGTTCCAAGAGCCAGCTCCTACAGATTTGCTTTAGTAAATCTGTTCCCATTCCTCCATCGATCACCTTGGGCGGCCAACCTGTGCCATCGGTCGGATCGGCGAAGGGACTTGGTTTTATCCTGGATAGAAACCTTTCTTTCAACGAGCAAGTCACCGCCATGACAAGCAAGGCATCGCGGAGACTGCACTACCTGCGTTTGCTCACAAAGCAAGACACTAGTGTCACGGATCTAGTGCAAATCTACCTGGCACTAGTAAGACCTGTCCTCGAATATTGTCATGTGCTGTTGGTAGGGTGCGGCAAGGAGCAAGAAATGGCCATTGAGAGGGTCCAACGCCGTGCCCTCCGCATCATTTCCCTGGGAGGACGTTGCAGCGTACCCGATCTGCCCACACTGAAGACGGAGGCAGCCGTGCACCTGTTTGAGCGAATGCTGCGAGATGACCACCCCCTAAACGACTTGGTTCCGCCGACTAGGTCTGCAGCAACTGGACTGTCCCTGAGAAACGCTGAGAGGATCAGTCTGCCTCCAGCTCGTACAAAGAGACTGCGCAATTCCTTCTTACACTGTGCTATCCGGTTGTATAACAACAGACCAACACTTGATACACAGTAATCACTTTGTATATATGTAATGCTAAGTGTGTTCGCTTTGCTTTTATGGATAGAATTGGTTGTAATTGAGATGCTGTTTTTTTAAGATATTCTGCTTGTGACGTTACTTGTAATGTTAAACTTTGTAATGTGTACATTGACTCATGAATTATGTAACCAGGACGTAATTCGGGCAATTTTTGCCCGCGAGCTCCTTTGGACTTGTAATAAACTTAATAAACTTAAAAAAAAAAAATTCACACGCCAACGCAATTATTTAAGGCCATCCAATGCGAAATTCGTCAATTTACAATCACGTACAGCTAGAGGCCCAACAATTTGAAACAACCTAAGTAGAACTTTACAAATTAGTCCCTCCTTCACCATTTTCAAAAATCATACTAAAGTAGCTTTCATAAATAACCCCACACATTCCTAATTTTTGTTTATCCTTGTTTCCTTGTTTACTACTATTACTACTTTTCATTATTGTAGATAGCATTGTATCGTATTGTATTTTATTGTTTTGTTTCATTTACCCGTTATTTAAGTTATTTCTTATTTATCTCATTTATTTGAATTGTGAAGGGAGGCCTCCTCATAAGCATTTTATGCTTCCGGCCTCCCTGCACTGTTACATTTCATTGATATTTT